ACGCAGAATGGTGAGCCGGGGCCTTCTTCACAAAAACCAAGTTTCTTCTCTTTAGTGGATATGAAGCCCAAGATTTCGTGGTTTCAGTTTTGTTCACAGTCTCCTTTCACTGTATGTAAGTTGCTTGACCTCATTTTCACAACTTGGTCTGTTGTCATGGTGACCCAACAGAACTCACTCCATCCGAATTCCTTTGCTATAGTAATTATGACAATTCACAGCACCGGACCTTAAGCCTAGAACATTCCCGGAGGTTTCTTCGACGTTGCCAGTGAGCTACAAGTGAAGACCGTGCCCTGACCAACTTTATGGCCAATGTTTTTTTTATCACTGTCCCCTCCTTTATGATGCATCCCTTCTACAGAATGAAGACTGCTATCACAACAATTGTACATAAAGTTGATCAGGGGACGGAATTTACTTGATTCTTTGACTTATAATGCCCTCGAAACGAATGGGACTGTAAAAAGTCCATGTTTAGAATTCTGATGTTGATAAGATGCAATTTCAACTTTTCCAAAGCTATTTATCTCATTGAAATTATGCTTTATAGACTTGTTTTCGCAACATGTTTATGCTGTCAAGGTGATCTATAACAATCCACTCTATCTGAACAAGTCAGGATCATTCCTGCCGTCGGACCATGTGTACGATACATTCCCAGACGTTTCGTTGGTATTTTAGTCGGCATCGTCAGACTTGCCTTTTTCATTAGTTGTAAATTGATGTCAAGAATGGCAACAAGCACTGACGATATTGACTACGAGGCAGGCGACATTTCTGGAAATGTACCAATTCCACTATCAGAAGGCGATAGTCATCATAACTATCTGGCAGATGACTTCGAACAATGTGCATTCATTTAGATCGCCCTGACAACGAGATGAAACCACTTTTTGTCCAAATTATGCTGAGGCTAAAGACTGCGACCGAGATAGAGACCATAATGTCTTGGTCGTCATCTTTTCTATCGTACACTTTACGCAAGTCTGCCTGTTTCCATGACCTTGGTTGTCATAACGTCATAGCAGTAGCACCATCTATTTACAAGATTTGCCGCCTCTCTGCGAAGCTTGTGCCCTGGAGTGTCTCAGATTTTCTTTTTTTCGATTTTAGTCTTTTTCGAGATTGCCACTACTTTGTGAATGTGGTGATTTGAGGAGGGAGTCTGATTTTTTACCTAATAATGCAATTCTAGTGGAATTTTAAACCCCTACTTGACATTGTAAACTTATGTTAGATTAAAGCATGTGTCAAATTTATCTGTAACTTCTCAAAGCCTACAGGCCAATTGAGGTAATTTTATAGTATATGATACATAGCCACCATTTTTCGCCTCGAGAGCCTAATTATAAACGAATTATAAGTAAAGAGTGTTCTTTTGACCTCGTTTTCGCGACATTCTCGAGGCGACACGGGGATCTTAAGGGACATATCTTGTCCTCCGACCTTGGCCATATTAGTCATGATAATTTCCAGCTTCCCACCGTAGGCTTGATACATTCCCAGATTTCTAATGCCCGATTGGGGACTATTTCCCCAAATTCCGGCAGTCTTCATGACAGGTTGCCAGAGTTTAACTTAGCCTTGAATCAATTTGAGCCTAAGTGCTTATTTCATAGCTCATCGTCCCGGAAATAGTCGAATCCAGTCTCCTTGTAGGCATGCCAATAGGAAATCCGCAACTATGAATATAGTAGCCACTACCAGTCGCCTAGTCGAGGTTATCTTCATTCTCCGTATGACTGCTTCTAAGACGACGAGTAGAGTGATCATCTTTTGTACATCAACTCTTAGAGAATGTGGTGACCACATGGCCTTTAAGTCTGGCAATTATCGTCATAGAGCAGAGCTTGTTTTCTGAAAAACTCTCTCATATTTGCACTTCTATTTGCAGGCAGCTCCCGCCTTCATCGGGGTCATCTGCTTGTAGGCTACCATCTGATTTGGCAATACTGGCAAATTCAGCAGTTTTTGTCAGCTCTACAAAAAAGGCAGATGAGCGTGAGTGAACAGGAGGCTGCAGAGATTGGAGAAGATGAAGATCACTTTGAAGGCTAGACAAGAAGATGTCAAGACTGCCAGAAAGGCTAGATTGTTTTTGTAGACAAGACTGCAGGCATATTAGCGATAGTCTAATGAAATTGTCTCGAGGAGCTTGGTGTTTATCCGCCTACCGTGGAACAACTAGACGAATTATCAAGTAAGGCATAAACTCCAAATTTTCGAAAAACTTGCTGAAAATGCGTGTAAGTGGATGCGGGACCTAGGGCGACCAGGAACGGAAGAAGAAGAGACGAAACAAATAGGCCGCGAGGCAGGTGCTGAGGTGGCCGCATACAGAAATGTGCAAGGCAAGAGGCAAATCGGGGAAACGGAGAGACGCTTAAGCGTCGCGAAATGAGAGCGCCAATCAAATTTGGCCTAGATGGTTCGCATCATTTCTTCGCAGCTAGCCAGCCAATCAGACTGCGGCTTCAGGCGGGTCTGCCATTTTGATTGGTTAGACGGTCTTTAGGTTTAATATCAAGTCAACTTGCCAGCCAATCAAACAGCTGGATGCCGGTTTTGACAGATTTGCAGCTGCGTGAATGGCGAGTTGAGAGACGAGGTGAATTTTGATAACCAGACAGTCGTGAGAGTTCAAGGCAGGCAGACAGACCACGCGGTCGACATCACAGCCAGCCTGGCCTTCCGTCATGTCTCACTTTCCACCTTGCCGTCATCCTCCACCAGTCAGATCCATTAGGTCCACCGCCCCCCAACTGATCCACCAACGTTCTCTCTCTCTCTCTCTCTCTCTCTCTCTCGTTGCTCGTCGTGAGCTTTCTCTATCTGTCCTACCTGTACAGCAGTTGCGCTAATCTGCTCTACAGATGCATACGCATTTTTTCGCCGACCTCTGTTTCTGACCTTCAGCTTTGCTCATCCGGCCTGCCCGAGGCCGAGCAAGAGAGAGAGATAGACTCACAGCTAGGCCTGATAAGGTAGCCAGCGACAACGAGTGAAGGAGAAAAAGAGAGAGAGAGAGACTGTGGAATTAAGAGCATGTCTTCAAGGCAGTCTAAAGTCAGAGGTTTGACGGGTGAAGGCCATTTTTATTATTCTCTTCGAGCCCCACACCTCGGCTTCTTTCGGGGCAAATCATTGCGTGACAGTGTTGAGTTATTGCTTGACTGATTGACAGCTTGAAATATTATCCTTCTTGACAGTCCTGCCGACAGGTTGGCTGGTTTCGCCCAACTCCTCTCCTGTTGTCGTGTCTATCGATTCCCTTTGCAGATTTTCGTGTATGCCAGTCGAAGCTGTGTTTTATCTACCAGCCTCAGACATGTGCACATGACGCCCGACTCGGTGTTTGTGTGCCTGCGTGTGTGTGTGTGTGTGTGTATGCTTGTGTGCACTCAATTGTAGTCTGAATCGAGGGAAGTGATCGTCTCGTCAATTGCCTCGGTGACGTGGGCCAATCGGTGGGCCAACCTCGACGGACACGCGAACTCACCGACGCCATTCGAGACGTTCCAACTTCAACGCCAACTTCAGCATCGAAAGAGCGCCATCTGCCGGCCTGTCACGACTTGGAGGTCCGATTCATGTGGAATACTTATCCCAGTGCCTTGGGCTGACGTACACTTTGTTCTGGATTGTAAGACGGCGCCGACTGTACAGCAGTGCTCAAACTCGAGGATTACGCGTGTAGTTGTGTCACTCCGCTCCTCCTCCTCCTCCTCCTTTTTACCCCTTCTCCTACACCTCCACGTCTGCACTCCACGTCTGCACAACTCCCCAAGTGCCATTCTGCCTCCCGGACTCAAGGGGTGGCCATCTGCCCGTCGTCTCACTGGTTCTGTGAGAGATGAGCTTTTCGGTTCGCTCCGATGCTACTCGATCGGTGAGTTGACTCCCCCAGTTTTGTCATGTACTTTCTATTCTGCTGTAGCTACTGCACTGCCTTATTTCACTTTGGCAGAAATGCCCATTCACCCTCGAAGCCCTCTTCTCATCGTACTCATCTCTCGTTTCACTTGAGCACCAGTTAGTTACCTGTCCGCCGCTTCGTCGCACACCGTGGTGATGGAAGAATGTCGGCTAAAAAGGGATCCAGACGACACAATAATTGATGCATTGATTGAATAATTGATGAAATAATTGACTGAATTAGCATCTTTGAAAGCGTCAATTTTCAGATTAATTAAATGAACCCATCTCAGCTTAAGACTCAATTTTCATCTATTTATAGTTCCAAACATATTGCCTGTCAAATGCGGCTAATTAATTGTAAAATGATTTACATTTCAAAGAAGCTGACTATTATTCTCATCGAAGAAAGACTTAGTCACGATAGACTGGTGACTGGGCTTTACCAGATGGTGACGAAGACCTCGGCTCATTGTGCTACTATCTCAAATGATCCATGCGAAACTTTCATCTGTCTCTGTTGTGATAATTTTCACCTGAGCACCATTCAGTTACCTATCAGCCGCCTCGTTACACACCGAGGTGATGGACATTTGCATTCTATGGAAGAATGTCGGCTAAAAAGGGATCTAGACGACACAATAATTGATGGATTGATTGAATAATTGATGGACTTATTGACTGAATTAACATAATTGAAAGCGTCCATTTTGAGATTAGTTAAATGAACCCATCTCAACTTAAGACTCAATTTCATCTCTACTTTAATATTGCCGGTCTAATCCGACTAATTAATTGTAAAATGATTTACATTTCAAAGAAGCTGACTATTATTCTCATCGAAGAAAGACTTATCTTTACCAGATGGTGACGAAGACCTCGGCTAATTGTGCGAAACTTTCATCTGTCTCTGTTGTGATAATTTTCGTAAGAGAGCGTATGAAGAGATTTTCAGGCCACACAGACTCTGGGACTATTCGCATCGTTATATATCATTCTATACATAAATATATATTCGCTTACATTTATGAGTATATATATATATATATAGTATGTAGGAGCTTCTTCTTGATTTTTTGCAAGAATTGCCTTCAGCTCTGACGATGTATCTCATATTACGGACGAAAGCTTATCTCGTTTTCACTCTAAATGCCCGATGCTGTCTCGTCAGCTGCTTCAACCGTAACTTCGTATGGTTGACAAGCAGGATTACATGAACAACAGGTGCCCCAAAAGATTAATCAATATCCTCTTCTCCTTCATATTGTCATCAACAGGGCATCAGTGCTGCCAACATTGACATTTTTCTATATTTGATCATTTTGTCGTGACAGCCCACACCATCAAAGCCATAAAGTGTGACATCTTAAAAAGGTGAACAATATGCTAAACGTCTTCTGTAGTGACAGTAAGGACAAAATCGCTGTTTCAATGGATTGCAGTTGTAGGACGTG